AGGGAGGGAGGGAGGGAGGGGACAACTCAAAATTGTGAGCCCAGGAAGGAAGAAGGTAGGAGGGAGGGAAAAGAAGTGGGGGAAAAGGGTATCCGATCATAAGTCCGGCGCGCGGCTTTTTCCTTGAAGCTCCTTGAAGCAACTGGAGCTCTTAAGAGCTACTAAAGCCTGTGAGCCAGCAACCATGCAGCAGAAAAATGAAGGCATCAACCCTCAAACTTTTTCCGATTTAAGGTTCCCTCTCGGTCTGAATGGCACTTCAATGGAGGAAAAGCAAAGGCACGGAAAGTTTTCTTCTTTCGGGCCTCGACGCCATTTTCACTCGGCCATTTTCACCCCCATCATATCCTCCAGCTCCGAGGTCTTTAGGTTCCTGTTAACCTCCTACCTGAAGAAAGGGGCTCAGAGCCGCGTACTCGGTAAGGAGGTCCTTCAGCGGCGGAAGCGGCGGAAGCGGAGGTGAGCCCTCCAACCCCAGCCCAGGAACTGCTGCCGCCTCCGCAACCGTCCCTACGCCCTCCACCTCCACTTCCGGCGCTGCCTCCTCCGCCTCCGCTGCTGCCTCCGCTTCCTCCGCCTCCTCCACATTCAATGCCTGACCGCGAGAACTCAACGGGTGTGGTGACGGCAGCGGCGCCGCCGTCGCTGTCGCCGTCGCCAGCTCCCCCTCCATCGCCGCCGTCGCCACCGTCGCAACCAATGTCGTTGACCCCGACTCTTTTCCTCTCCAGGCCAGTTTGGTTACCGGACTAACTGCTGCAGCGGCGGCGACTGTTGCTGCTGATGCCAACGCCGCTGACGGCGCCGGCGCCGACACAGGTGCAGCCGCCGTCGTGGAGGTTGGCGACGACGCCTGCGTCAGGTAAGGAGATATGGTGAAGCCCGATGCCGCCGTCAGGCCAGAAGTCTCCAGGGCTTCGGGCTCCGACGGGACCGCCACCGCCGCCGCCGCCGCCGCCGCAACCTCCTCGGCTGCTGAGGCCCTTGCCGTCGCCGTCACCGTCGCCATCGCCTCAGTCTCTAATCTGCACTCCGCGATGACTGCATGTGCCGCCGCCGACCATATCACCTCCGCCGCGGGCCCCGCCAGCGGGTCCGGCGGAGGTGACCCCGGCGACAGTACGGCGACGGCCTCTGCGGACGAACCTGAGGTGCCCGCGGCTGCCGCCAGGGACTCATCCGCCACCGCCGCTGTCGCTGCCGCCGACTCTGTGGGCGTGTTTGCCCTAGAGCTCGCCCTTGGACTCGACGATGACGCCGGGCTCTGCGGGAGGACGGTACCAAGGCCAGCACTCCCCGCGGCGCCGCCGCCTCCTCCGCCAGGTAGGGGCGTGAGCGCCGCCGCCGCCGCGGCCTGGGCCTTCATTGGATCGCACGTGTCTTCATCGACATGCGGCGACGAAGGCGTCGCCAGCAGCCCTAGCGCCGCTCGGGCCGTCAACGTCGCCTTGAGAAAGGGGCTAGGGGAGATGGGCGTCGGAGGCTGGCGCGTAGAAGGCGACAGCGGCGGTGTGTTCGTGGCAGCGACAGAGGATGACGCCAGACGACTGGGTGCGGCGGCCACGGCGCCGCCGCCGATCTGCAGCTGTGGTACATGAAATCCGCCCACGCCGCCGACGCCAACCAAGCCAGCTGGACTGGCGCGGCTGCGAGGCGAAAGCCCAGGACCAGAAAGTTCACTAGCAGCTTTCATCAATCGTTGCGGCGACCAGGCTGTAGCGGCGGTGGCGGTTGTGACGGTGGCGGGAACCGGCGGCGGCGATGCGGCGGCGGCAGTTGTGGCAGCAATGGCAGGTGTGTGTACAAGGCCGCCGCTGTTGCTGTTGCTGCTGCTGCTGCTGCCGCCAGCGCCACCTGCCGCGTTTGCCAGGTGTCCGAGGCTCCGCACTCTGGGCAGCGCGGCGCTCGGATAGCCGGCCAGGGTTTGGCGGTTACGGTGAAGGTGAGGATATGCCTGTAGCGGCGTCGCAGCGTCGTTGGCAAGGGAGACGGAACGATGGCTTGGGACGTGGGCATGGACGTGAGGATGGTTATGCTGCGTGTGCGCACCGCCGCTCGACGCCGCAGCGGCGGCCGCGGCCGCGGCCGCGGCGGCGCTGACGCCAGCGGCGCCAAAGATGCCGTGGTGGAGATGGTTGTGACCGTGGTGGTTGTGGTGCAGGAGGTGGCGGCGGCGCAAGGGCAGACTGTGCCGCCGCTCACCTAGTCCGACGTCGGCGCCGTCGGCGACATGCGGCACCGCCGCGGCTGCGACGCCGGTAGCGGCGCCGCTGCCGCCCCCGCCCCCGCCAGCGGAACCAGCAGCAACTCCCCCGCCGCCGCCACTGCCGCCGCCAACCCACGTCACCCGGGGCACCCTAGAAATTATGTTGACGGCTACAGCCAACAACCACACCAAAGGGTAGGTGGACAACGTTCGCAACAGCTCCATGTACGGGAGCGGCGGCGGCGGCGCTCCGCCGCCAGCGCCGCCGTGCACGCCACGGCTCACCAACAGGTACGCGTGCACGACCACCCACAGCAGCGTCATGGCGCCGGTGGAGGTCGCGAAGGCCGACGTTCCGAAATCTGACGAAATCGCATTGGCGTTGTTGAACAGGAATGACCGCATCACGTGCATGTCGTGCATGCCTGCGGGCTCCAAAATCAAACAAAAGACCCGTACTGTCAACGTCAGAGCCCAGCTGCACATATTCAGTGCACCACCCCAGCGCGCGTAGGCCGCGGGGCTGATCAGCGCCAACAACGGAGGTGCGCCGTACAGTATGGTACCCAGCGCCGTCAGGTGAATTGACCCGAAGTAATGGAGCAGCGGCTCGCCGCGACGGCGGCAGTCACGTACAACCTGGAATGGAAAGAACGGCAGGACGTGTACAGCGTCGGGAGAAATACGGCAGCAGGTTTAGGACCAGAAAATGATTTAGGACCGTCAACTTAGTGCATCCATCTTAAAATACGTCTCTCACCTAAAATTTGCGTTTTTACGATATCGATATCTATTTCGGACACACAGCCCCCTCGGCCCCCTCCGGGCCCTTGGACCCCCCCCCTCATCAGGGCTCCAGGGATGTATGTTGTTACAGGGTGGTTAAGCTTCACCAGCGGCCCCCTTTCCCTTGGAGGCAGTTCCCTGCTCTCCCCTGCGAGAGGGGCACCCTAATCCATTCACCCCATCCAATTTCAGAATCTATTCGTTGGGTTCAGCAACTCACCACCAGCATCCAACCAAATCTAGCGGATCAACGGCGCCTCAACTTAGTTCCTGGTCAGCTCGCAAGTTGATATTATCACGTCCTACACCGTCCATAAGATGGGGGGCCACCTCCCATTTCAACACTTCTCAAACACCCGAGAAGTCGGCAGGCGGACTTGAACCCGGACACTCCGGGAGCAGAAGTCAGGCCTTATCCTCTGCCAGCCGCCCGCCAGGTATGTATATATGTATGTATGTCCCCCCCCAAGGTTATACCTTTCGTGGGTAACGCAACTCCAGAAGGTGGTGTCACATACATTCATACACACACATGTGCACACACACAGAAACCTACCTGTGCCATATGTGCAGCTTGATACGCCATCGCAAAGGCCCGAATCACACACAGCTTAATGAGATGCGTGTTGTGAACTCGTACCAGCAGCGGTGGCGCCGCCATCGCCGCTGGCCCAGTCAATACTCCCGCCGCGCTTGCGGCGGCGGCGGCGCCGCTGCCTATAATGCCGTGGTGATGCCCGTGACCTGTCAGAGCTTCCGAATGCAGCATCTGCAGAACACCCAAGTCCACAGATGCTCGTACGCCGTGGTCAAAAGCGCCGCCGCTGCCGCCGCCGCTCCAGCCGCCGCCGCCGCGCGGGCTGGGCCCGTGCAGCGACGTATGCTGCGCCGAGTTGTACATCCCCAGCGGCGGCGAGGGCGTCACGATGCCGCCGGATGCGGCGGCGACGTCACCATCGTACGACAGGCGCGGCGTGTGCGTTGCCGACGCGTCGAGGCTGCCGTCGTGCTTCCCAGCAGCGCCGCTGGCTGCGGTGCTGGCTGCGGTTCCGATTGCAGCTTGGCTGTTCATGTCGCCCGCGGCGTCCAGGAGGCTGTCACTTGCTAACCGACCCAAGGGTCGCGCACCTGCCCAAGTAGGCGCTGGGCCCATCAGCGTGTTGTACCTGGGGCAAAAAAGAGTACAATACAAACTGAGTAGGTGTGCGTCTGAATCAGACTGAGACACCGGCTCAGGGAAAGAGAGGCGGCTCCCAGCTCCTCCCGGGAACCTCTCGCCAGAGAATGTCACTCAACGCCGCCAATGAATGCTCAATCCAGAATGCTCAACCCACGCATCCAATTATCCGACCCCCATCCAGCCCAGCCACGCACGCCTCTGCCTCGTCCTGTCCTACTTACATAGCCAACAACGAATTCCCTCCCTCCAGCCCCGCAAGACACGACACGACAGGCCGGGCCCCCTCCTTCCCCTTCCCCCCGCACAGCGAGTTGAGCGCCAGCAGTCCGCAGTACGTGACCATGAACTTGAGTGTCTCTGTCGGCATGTCGACATCCGGGCCCACCCGGCTGAGGTGGCCGCACAGACAGGCCAGGGCAGTAAGGCCCAGGTGACCCAAGAATACCCTGGCGGGGTCCTGGAGGGGGGGGTGGAGAGAAATGGGGTGTATGCCGGTAAGTTCTATTACTATTTGTATGGATAACAATAGTAATAATATAACAATATATAATATAACAATCAAGCAGGCGGCTGGCAGAAGTTAAGGCCGGGCTTCTGCTCCCGTCGCGTCCCGGCGCGTCCGGGTTCAAATCCGCCTGCCGACCTCTCGGGGTGTTTGAGAGGTGATGAAATGGGAGATGGCCCCCCATCTTGTGGACGGTGTAGGACGTGATAAAATCATCTCGCGAGCTGACCAGGAACTAAGTTGACGCGCCGTTGATCCGCTAGATTTGGTTGGATGCTGGTGGTGAGTTGCCAAACTCAAAGAGTACACTCTGAAGTCGGATGGGGTGAATGGCTTAGGGTGCCCCTCTAGCAGGGGAGAGCAGGGAATTGCCTCGGGAAGGAGGCCACTGGTGAAGCCTAACCACCCTGTAACAACATCAACAATCGTCATGAGACAATTATCGGAAGTCCAGAGCATCGTGAGCAATGTGTGTGTGTGTGTGTGTGTGTGTGTGTGTGTGTGTGTGGCCCCGAGGAATTGGCGCTTGGAAACGCCATTCCTTCCTTGGACAGGGCGGGGCGGGGCGGGGTGGGGCTTGGAAGAAGCGTCGGCGAGTGCGCAGATCTACTTTTGGAGGGCCGAGGCTCCCCCGCCCGCCGCGCCTGCACGAGCTGATGGTGATGATGATAAGCTCCCACACCGCATGTGGTGTGTTTTACCCGTTCTTCTCCGTTATCCCGCCTCCTTTCCCCCGTCATCCCCCTTTCCCCCCGGGCGGAATGGACTCCACAGTTCGCAGCTTTGGGCGTCGGCAGTTGGTTCGTTTGGACTTCTCGCCCTTATCTCCCTTCCTTCCTCTTCCTCCCGGACCGCCGGGAGCTGCCGACCTGCTGCACCATCATGCCCAGCCCAGCTAATACCAGCTCCTGCTTGTACGCTTTGGCACGTACGGCAGCGCACTCGCTGGTGGCCTGCGGGACGATAGGGGAGAGGGAAGAGGCGGGGAGGGGCAAGTTGGCGACACGACCTACACAACCACGCATACACACACGCGCGAGCACGCAAACACATACATACACGCATACACGCGAGGGGACAGCGGCCGCCTGCCTCACGGCTCCTCCGTCCCCAGCGGGTTTGGAGGCACGCACGCAGCCACGCAGCCGCACCTGCATGAGCAGCCCCACCAGCCGCGCCAACATGGCACCCAGGTGCAGCTGCTGCCGGTGCTGCATGTAGGTCCGCGGGGCGAACATGGCCACCCCCTGGAGCACCACGTGCTTAGCCAGGGGCACCGTAAGGCCCGCAAAAGCAAGCAGATGACCGGAGAGGGGGTGGCGGCCCGAGCCCGCTCCTGCAGCATGAGTGAGGAGGCGGAGGGGGAACAAGAGTCCGGAAGCGGGGGGAGGAGGAGGGGGGGATGGCAGGGGTGGGAGAAAGGGATGGCGGGTAGAAGTGAAAGAGCGGTCGGATTTGGGGTTTCGCTCAGGTGCGTTCTGGAAGATGGATTACGGCAGTGGGAAGGCAGGCGGAATGAAACGGAGGGACGAAGGGTCGGGTGAAGGAGGGTGAGGAGGTTGGAGCGCCCGCCGTTCCCCTCCTTGACAAAGCCCTTTCCGTGCTGCGACGTCAAGTCCGCGGCGCTGCCTGGATCGGCCCTGCCCTGACAGCCCTTCCAGAACTCACTGTAGCCCTCCCATAGGCGATAAACGGCCAGCAGGTGGAAGGACTGGATGGCAAAACCAAGCGTCCTGAGATGCGGAAGGATTAGTGATTAGGGGAGCACCAGAGCATAGCCACCTGTCTAGTCGATAGCCCCTACATCTGACAGTGCTTATACGTACCGCGTGCATACCAAACGCATGAGAAGCGGCTCATACTGCTGGGCCAGCCCATCACCGTGAAACTGGAGCTGCACAGGGATAGCCGGAAAACAAGCTGAAATATGTGTAAGTTATGGACTAAAATTGGCGTTGCAAAACTACCTTCTGGGCCACGTTGGCCTGAGCCTTCCTCTGTCGACCAACTCCACTTGATTCCTCCCTGCGTGTTCATGCAAATAGCTCCAGTCATAATACATACATCCACGCATCGCTGCGGCACTCATTTATCCTCGAGCTAAATTCAATTCCTCCTACCGGCCATAGACTCCACTGAACCCTATCCAGCCGCAAGTGAGCCCTACCAAAAATGCGTTCAACCCTAGCCATAGACCTTCCAAAGCGAAAGCCTGCATTTGAGGAACGCATCTAACTATGCGGCGGTCATGAGTTGAACAGCGCGTTTCGCGCGTTTAAGCCCGGCTAGGCGTCTAGGCCATCAGACAGTAAATTACATTTGCTGTAAAAAGAAACGCACATGGTCGCATGGAAAGGAGCAACCCCAACGATAACCTGTAACGATATTACGTAAGCTCTACCTTACGATGAAACAGCCCACCAGCCCCAGATCAGCCCAACAGCCGAGCACCTCGGGCAATAAGCTAGGACTTATCATTGCCACGCATTGCTTAACGTTGTTGCAACCTGGGGGACTATTACCCCGCAATTCATCGGAGCGTACAGCGGCACAGGGCATCCTTGGGGCCCTGCCACCAAGGACCATCTCTTTAGTACAGCCATTCTTTCCCAAACGCAAGCGAAAATTTCCCCACCCACAGTCTTTCCCTTCCCTTCCCGATTCTACCCGCAAGCTCCGCTTATCTGTAAGATTTAGCTCACATACGTTCCCATGCGATTGTTACTATGATGACACCTGGATTTCCCAAGCGTCGATCAGCAAAACGCAGTACAATGGACTCGAAGGAGGACGTGTGTGCGCCATAGTCTCGCACGCGCACACGTGCACATCCTGGCGGCTTAGTTTGCCTTCGAGGCACACACTCACACACAGGCAATCCTTTGCATCGTCGGCACCACTAGCCAGCCCAAGGACATACCGTAAAATCGTCACTTCGCTCCCTCAATCCGCCCCGCCACCCTCCCTTCTTCCTTCCTACACCCAAAGCCACCGACCCAAGGGCAATGGCCTCCCAAAGCTACATCATCAACCTCCCGCAGCCATAAAAAAACGCAGCGCATATCGCATGCAAGGTCGAAGACACTTCCTGTAGCACACTGCTAAAGGGTCGCCTGTTTCGGCGAGATATTAAAGGAGAGGCACCCACATGTACACGGCTCCGTTTCCACGGCACAGTTTGCGTGCTGGTGTTCGCTCCTCCTCGCACGCGCCCAGCTCCACAGCCACAGGTGCTTCGCACCTCGCACACTGCCAAACGTCCCGCTCGCCATCAGTTCCACCCGTCAGTAGTCCAAATCGAACCACCGACCTGATCCACAGTTCAAGCCACCGCATATCGGCGCGCCGCGGAATTTCCGGAGGTACTGCCGCCGCCGCCGCCGTCGCCGCTGCCGAAGCAGCAGCGAAGGGTCGTCAATCAGCGAAACACAAGCGCAGGAAATTGTAAAAGGAAAGAATGCCGTTTGGCCAAAACTGCGGCCCGGAAGCCATTAGACACATGAAGCATAATCTCGCGCCTCACGAGGCAGGTCGTGCACGCAATTGCAGTACATATAAATCGTAGTAATGTATATAACACACGAGCACAATTCTTACTGCGCAAAAAGGCAAAGTTAAGAGCCCTACCGCCCCGATGCGGCAGAAACCCTACCGCGCCATATGTAGCCATCCATCCTGAGGCTCCTCGTACATCCCCTCTTCAAAAAGTACGATGCAGGAAAAACGTGCTCAACTGCCGTACCTCGCAATGGGCGAGGCAATACGACAGTACGGCACAGAGTCGCCGTGTCGTGGCCCCAAAAGGAAGCATCGTACTACATTGCACTACAACCCTAGTGCTGCACAACATGCTGCAGCTACAACCGCGGTGCTTACGGTCCATCCCTCCTTGGAGCTGTGCCACCCACATTCCTCCCTTCTTCTCCCGCCAATGCATGGGCTGCCGGCTACATCGCCCCAAACACGCAAATGGTTGCATGAATCAATTCTCGGATTCCATGCCGTCGCTACTTTATCTAAATAAGGACTGTCGTACTTGTGAACCATGCAGGTTGCTCAGAGGACCGCTGCTGGTGCTGGTCCTGCAACACACTTGAATTGCCGCCACATTATGTGTGCCACAAAACACAGCCAGCATGGCAACTGCCAACCCAACATCCAACATACTCGCAACCACCAACCATCATCACCAGGATTATTCTCATCGTATAAGATCATTCTCATCGTCCCGATCACATTAGCAGTTATTGTGTTCCCACTTCCAAGCGCATTGGCGGGCGGGGGAAGCATCAAAACAGGCGGGCGGGAAGCATCAACACTTATCAATTAGACCACCCAAGTACCCAAGACACTGCGCACTGCAACCAGTTCAATTATGAGATGGACGATCAGCTCACCGCACAACGCCACGTTGTTAGACATAGCAAAGCGCCACGGAGCCCTCGGGTCCTATTACTGCTGCGTCACCATTCACTGATATTATATGGGTGTCGGTCACTTTCTCCAACACACACAACTGTATTACTGTGCAGCGCGCGTTGGGTCTTAAGAACTAAGCGTTCAGCAGCATGAAGGTTCAAGTAACACGAATTAGCACAAACGTATCCCCAACAAACAAACATCCCCATAATGTCAATCCTAAACTTTTGCATACGGCTCCCCCCCCCCGTTACACCTTCCTGCACCTCCGTCTCTTCACACTACGACAACCCCTGCTTGGTAGCGGACCGGGGGGAACCCTCCGTCGCTGCGCCACCCCCAGGTTGTCCGTCAACCAGCCAAAACAGCTCCATAGCACTGCGGGAGCATAACACGCCAGAGGGGAAGCAAGAGGCGTCAGTGTGCGGTCAGTCGGTCATCAGTTCCGACGCAGTGAGGGTCATAAAGGGCACCACCGTAAGGTCACCCATAAAGTCGGATCCCCTGAACTTAACAACAGTTGGGTTACTTCATCTCCCCCATAGGGTCGAAGTAATCCGACCGGAACCGGGACCACCCGTGTGATGACCAGCATGGCGGAATGCGGGTGCGGGTGCGGGTGCGGTGTTGATGGTTATTGGCCTATGGCCACGAAAGCCTATATGTGTAAGCTGCTACTACTGCTACTACTGCTACTACTGCTGCTACTACTGCCACTACTGCTACTGTTACTACTGCTACTACTGCAATTGCTACTGCTATTGCCATTGCTAATGCTGCTGCTACTGCTATTACTACTGCTACTACTGCGCGTCCACCCACTTGAATGTGCTGCCTCACGAAGCCCCACCCTCGCCCACGAACATCCCCAGCACACCTCCTGCCGCAAAAGCTCACCCTTTACCCTTGACCTGCCGTACGCCGCGACTGACCGCACAGGGCCCTTCTGGCCATTGCTCCCGCAGCAACGCCGCAAAAGCCGCGCTGCAGTTGATCCGGTCCGCCTCGCTGTTGTGCTCCATGCGCGCCGCCGTGTTGACCGCATCCCCGAACAAACAAAACCGGCGGTTCAGGGTCCCCACGACGGAGCCCACCACGGGGCCGCAATGCAGCCCCACACGCACATGCACGGTGCCCAGCTCCGGACGGTCAGGATGCACCGGCAGGGAGCTGGCGGCGCGGACGGCAGCCAAGGCGAACTGGGCCATGAGGCGCGCATGGTCACCGGGTTGCGGCCAGCGCAGGTTGCCAACAGCCAGATAGGCGTCACCAACGGTTTCTACCTGCATACCATACATCGCGGGGCGGCAGGCCGAGGAGCGAGAGCGAGGGAGTAGGGGATGATTCAGTTGGAGACAGAGAGCCTGGCAGAGAAGAAGGATCACAGGAGGATAGGAGGCGAAGGAGGGGGACCAAATTGGGGAGGAGGGCAGTGGTACAGAAGTGTAAAGCGGGAGGCGGAAGAGCAGCCTACATTGTAGGAGACGGAGCAGGAGGAGACGGAGGAGGAGGAGCGGGTCTGCAACCTACACGGACCGTCAACACGGGAATCCCAGCCATCAGCTATCCGGCATCGCTAAACCTTGGCGCCGCAGCCATCCTCAGCGCCCGGCAATCGCCAAATGCACCCACTACAAGCCGCTGCAAGCTCTCAACCGAACTTGCCTAAGCGCCCGTGTTCCCAACCCATGGCGAAATCCATATCCGGGCACCATCACCTTGAAGAGCCTCAATTCCCGAATGAGGTCATCGAATCGCGAGTAGAGGCGGTGCACCAGGTCCATCACCTCGCCCGGCTGCAGCTGCCCGCACAAGTCCGTGTAGCCCACCTGGGGGGGGGGAGGGGGAGAGAAGGGAGAGGGGCGGGAGAACAAGGAAGGGCCAAAGGAAAGAGAGATTTCACAGAGGTACGACGGGAAGTAGACATATGTCATCAGAGAAGATGGGTGAGAGGCGAGGCGGCGTGATGGGTGATGTGTGGAAGCTGTACAAGCCCCGCCGCCTGCTCCCCACGCACGCACTCGCGCATCCCGACCGCTCACTAGATTAGAGGGACTCACCACGTCTGAGAAGAATATCGAAACACACTCGTACCGCTCCGGCTGCACGGTCTCACCCGCCCGTAGGGCCCGGGCCACCTTTTGCGTAGGGGGGGGGTGGAAAGTTCGGGTGATTGCTGAGGGTTCGGGGGTTTTGGGGGGGTTAGAAAAGAGGTCCACCTGGATATGTACGATGAGAGTGTCGTACTGGGCTGAGCCGCGGGTCCTGACCCGGACGACTGCTGATTATGTGAGGGGCATTCAGCTGCGGGATGTGAGGGGGCATGTCGCGTGTGAGGGGGAGGTACATGTGCAGCCCCTAGATCCACACTGGCAGCACACACCACAGCGTTGTTTAAAAGGCGCAACGAATGCAACCTGCAACCGGGGAGGGAGGAAGGAGATCTTCCTGTCGCAGTGGACGGTGGTCCGAGGTGAAGCGCATTTCGGTTACATGGGAGAGAGTTAACTACTCTCGTACACGCTACCAAAGGACCCGGCGATGAGTGAAAACCGTGTTTGTCGTACCATGTAGGTAGGGGTGGGTAGGGATCATTGTGACCTGGTACATCCCCCCCCTGCTGCTGCTGCTGCTGCCGGTAGCGTGCGTCTTATCCACAGACCTTTTTTTATCAGGCCATCAGGATATACGACCTATACGGCACATACAACTAACAGGGCACCAGCCCAGCAACCACCTTTGCCGTACCTTGGGCGGGAAGAAGTCAAAGATGAGGTCGTCCGGTGTCAGCATGGTGCAGTGAACTCGGGCGCTGTCATACCGGGGCGGGGGAAGGAGAGAAGATGGCGACGGACGGAAATTATACGGTAATGGTGCATGTGCGCGTGCGCGTGCGCGTGCGTGTGCGCGTGCGTGTGCGCGTGCGCGTGCGCGTGCGCGTGCGCGTGCGCGTGCGCGTGCGCGTGCGCGTGCGCGTGCGTGTGCGTGTGCGTGTGCGTGTGCGTGTGCGTGTGCGTGTGCGTGTGCGTGTGCGTGTGCGTGTGCGTGTGCGTGTGCGTGTGCGTGTGCGTGTGCGTGTGCGTGTGCGTGTGCGTGTGCGTGTGCGTGTGCGTGTGCGTGTGCGTGTGCGTGTGCGTGTGCGTGTGCGTGTGGGTGTGTGTGCGTGTGCGTGTGCGTGTGCGTGTGCGTGTGCGTGTGCTGATGCAAGAAACAGAGTGTGCAGGATGGGGAGGGCGTCAACATCTTTAAGCCCGCATGTACCAGAGCGTACGGCCATGTAGGCCGAGTCTGCTGGGTACGGAAGCACTGTCACGCTCCCTTTCCCGTTTTCCGTACACTCACTCTCCCTTCAGAACCTGGCGGCGATCTCCCCGGTCGGAGACACCGTTGCGCGATGGCGAATCCCGGTTATTGCCATTGGCCGCCGCAGCCGCCGCCGGCGCAGTGCCGCCCGGCTCCGAGACGTCATCATCCAGGGCCAGCATCACGACAGATTCCACGCCCACATCTTCCTTTTGGTCCGTCATCCCGACGCCAGACTGACCGCCGTTCCGCCGGTTGATCCGGGGGGGGATGCCGACGCCGCAGTCGCTGCCGGCGGTGGCGGCGGTGGCGGCATTCAACGCTGGAATGACTTTGAACTCCAGCGTCTGCGCAATGGCGGCGAAGGTGAGGCCCGAATCCCGATTCAGGCAGGACCGCGCGACGTCAGCCAGCTGCGGACAGAGACTCCGCAAGTACGACAGCGCAAAGCTCGTGGCGTGGTCATCGAGCGGGGCTGGCGACGACTGTGGCGCCGACGGCGCCGACACCGCTTGCCTCGACGGCTGGCTTAACGTTGAGTTGCCGCTAACACCGCCACCTCCACCGCCGCCGCTGCCAACGGCGGCGGGAGCAACGCAGCCCGTCTCACCGTCAGCCCCCGGCACGTGTGAAAACTGAAGCGCGAACCGCAGCCATCCAGAATCTACGGTGGACGAAACCATAAAGATGCCGCACAGCAACATGCCGAACTCGTACACATCCTGCTCTATGCTAGGCTGGTACGGCGGCGGCAGTGCTGCCGCCGCCGCAAGCGGCGGTGCGCCGCTGGCGCCGCCGCCGCCGCCGCCAATTCCAGAGCAGCCTGGTCCTGCGCTGACGCTCATCCGGCCTGTTAGGTAGTCCATCGCCGTCTGAGACCAGGTCACGGTGCTGTTGCTGGTACCGACGCCGTCGACAACTCCAACGGCGGCGGGCTGATGTAGTCGGACGTCCGGCGGCGGCGGCGGCGGCGGCACCGCCTGTGCCGTCCTTGCTGCAACGGCGAAGCACGTCGATTGTGCACTAGAGGAAAGCGTGTCAGGTATGTCCCCGCTCAGCTGCGGCGGCTGCTGCTTTAGTGGAACCACATCAGGCTGTTGCGACGGCAGCGGCAGCTGTAGCGGCGACGGCTGACGCTGTATTGCCGGGGGATTGAGCATCCGGACCGGCGGAGTGGATTGAGGGTTACAGAGGCTAGGTAGGACACGAGGACGGCTTCGGGACGCTTCAGGAGTGCCGGCGGGGGCGGCGGCAATGGCGGTGCCGTACTCAGGGTCCAGGTTCCGGAGCCGCAGGAAGAGATGCGGATCAAAGTTCTTGTCGATAATTATTCGCGAGGCATCCAACGGACCCGCCAAGATGCGCGGCTCCTGGCGAACGCACGTGGTCAAACCACGCAACGAGGGGGCCAGGGCAGCAAGTAGGGCAGGGCAGCAGGGTGGCATGGCGACATGGCGTCAGGGTGGACAGAGTGGTACGAACGCAGAGTGGTACGAGCAAAGGTTTACAACTGTGGACCACCCGTCTAAAGACCTGCCAAAGCACCAACATTCCAACAGCAGGAAAAGCGGTAGGTCAGCGGGCCGCGGATAGAAGTGCGGGGCGCGGAGGGGGCTCCAATGAGCCCCGCACATCATCACAGCGAAACCGTGTATATGTATGTATGTATGTATGTAAGTGGATATCTCGGATCCGGCCGTGTCGATGGCGATGTACACCTGACGGGGATGGTGATTTCCGAGGGAGGGTGGATTCTTTCACGCCATTTCCTTTAGCTCACGTTCTTGCTCCCTTCAAAATGCTTTGGCAACTGGCATACAATCTATACACGGTTTCATCGAGGAAATGAGGCATCAACTAAGCAATCATGAAACCACTCAAGCAAAAGGATGTTGCTGTTTTGCCGGCATTTGCTTTTTTTTTGTCTAGTTATCGACTGAAATTTTGTGACTGTGGCCGCCCGACCCTGGACTGAGCATTTCATATTGCTCTTCTCTCCCGTCCCCAACCACACACCTGGGCGTGAAGGTACGCCAGCCCCTCCGCCACCCCTTGAGCGATGCTGGCCTTGGTCAGCAGCGGCAGCGGCACCGTCTCGTTCTCCAACAGCCGGTCCAGACTGTCAAACTCGTGCCATTGCCGTACCAGCACGGGCACCTTGCCGCCGCCCTCCAACAGCCCCGGCCACTCCCACACGATGCCCAGCACGGGGCACATGCGGGGGTGCTGCAGCCGGACCGCCCGCCACACCAGCGCTGCGACAGGAAAAGGCCGACCGACAGACCGATCGACAGACAGAGAGACATATGGACAGACAGACATATGGACAGACAGACTGGTAGGTTAGGAAACAAACAGGCACACAGACAGACAGAAGGACAGGTCGGAGATAAATGACAAAATAAGAGCTTTCCCACACGTTTTGGGCGCCAGAGGGCCCTCTGAAGCTGGGAAAGGGAAATAGTCTCCTGTCCGTTGCAACAGGCTAGTACAACAGCCTCACACCCACTGCACAAACCCGGCGGTCCCCCCTCCGCACTCGCACTCACACGTAGAGCTGCCCCATTCTCCTCCTGGTCCCCCACTCATCACACTCACACACACACACACATAAACGCACACGCACACACATACAAACACACCCCGGGGGCCTTTTCAAACCCACCTAAGACCTGCCGCCGGCTGTGCCTGCCCAAGAAAGCCGCCGGCCACCTGACGGCAGCGGCGCCGCTGCCGCCACTGCCGCCGCCGCTGCTGGGCTGCTGCACTGTGCCCGGCATAGTGGACGAGCTTGCCGAGCGCAGTACACTCTCGGACTGCTTGAGGGGCTCCCTGGCGGCGGCGCCGCCGAGCTGCTGCTGCTGCTGCAGCGGCGGCGGCTGTAGCCTGTAGGTGGCGGCGGCCGCCTTCGCGTCCCTCGATGAGGTTGGTAACCCGCACGGGTCGGATCCCATTGCGGTGCCGCTGCTGGCCAACTCCCTACACCTCCCGTTGAAGTATTCAAGAGGCATAGGCATAGGCACAGGCACAGGCACAGCATCAGCAACATGTCTGTCGGAAGGAGATCTGTTAAGACCAGCAAAGCGCAACGAAACTCCCTTGTCCTATTACTGCTGCTACCATACTCTGATATATGAGTGTCGGCCACTTTCCAACATGGTATCATCCAGCTATGGCTGCTGTCGCCGCCGCAGCCCCCCCACCCCACCCCACCCCACCCCACCCCATGGAACCTAAACAAACAAACTTCTCGGTGTCACCCCGCCACCTCGCCATCCGACATACATACATACATACATACATACATACATACATACATACATACATACATACATACATACATACATACATACATACATACATACATACATACATACATACATACATACATACATACATACATACATACATACATACATACATACATACATACATACATACATACACCCATGGCGACAATTACTCACAGCCGAAGAGCAGATCAAAATCCGCCACGCCGCAACTTTACCGCACCCCACCCCGCCCGTTTCGCAACGGGCACTCCCTCCCTCATCCCTTACCCCCCCCACCCCAAACACACAAACACACACGCACACCTGTCTTCCAGGGGGTTTATCGGAATCTGACTCATAGACAGCTGTACGGCATAGAGGGAGAGAGAGAAGGGGGGAAAGAAGGGCAGGAATGGGCGCCCGGGGAGGGGACCTGAGGTATGCGGGCGGGCGGGCGGGCTGCTGGGTCCTGGGTGTTGGGTGTTGGGGGAGTTCCAGGGGAGGGGGTGTCCGGTGGTGTCCGCAAATTGTGTGTGCGGGTTGGGAGGACGGTGCTGGGCAACGTTTTT